TTTTCTCTTTCTGTATCCAAGAATAAGAAAAGAAAAAGAAAAAAAATGAATTGATGGTCCAATGAACAGAATGAAATCTGAATGAAATTACATCTAATTCCCGCTAAGTCAAAGTATGAAACACTTTATAATCTGTAAACTAAGCAGGCCGAGAGACTTGTGGTAGTCCTCTAGGACTTGGTTGGTGCACTTGAACTGGACTTGGTTGAACAGCTCCATTCTCCACTAGGTGGCAATGCTTAGCTTACTGGGGTGGTTCAGTGTGGTGTTCGTGTATGTGAAGGCACAAGAGAGGTGAAAATGACGTCACACAGCTTTCCAGACTCCAGCCTCAGAACTGTTCTCTCATGACCAGCCATCAGGCACCTCTCCTTTGTCTCCTGCTTCCATCCACTCCCTGCTTCTACATTGTGACCAAGCTGTCAGCATACCAGGTGGCACCTCTCTCCTGAATTTTATCTCAGATGGGGCTCTGTTTCCAAACCGCTCACTTCTGAGGGCCCTGTGGTTTGGGCCTGCTCTGACTCTCTTGGGGAGAGTCTTGCCGAGCAATGGTCAGGTGCTGGGTTGCCCCCAAGAATGCTTATGCAACCGCACCACTACAGAGACCCAGAGACTGCATCCAGGTGTCAACCTGCCCCAGAAAAAGTTCATGCAATTGTGTAGTAGCAATGGTTCAGGAGACTATGGCAAATCACAGCACACAAGTGGCTCCAGGCTTCACCACACCCTAGCATCCTTGTTCCAACATCAGCAAACATTGCTTTTCTCTGGGGTCTGCTGGGACCCTTTCCCATGCAGAGGCTACACAGCCTCTACCAAATGTCCTCCTAGCAGGGGTATCGCCTCTCCACTGTGGCCCAAGGGCCCTCAGACCTCTCAGTCTGCTCCTGCACCTGAGGAGTGCTATGCCTTGCCACCATAGCACTGCCAGGTATCAAGCTATGGAATTTCCTACTCTGTGCTTCCCTGTTTATAGAGTCCTAATGGCGTTGAAAGTCTTTCCTTTTTCCTTTTCCCCTTTCTTGTTCTGGCCCTTGTGGATGCTTCCACTCTTTCCCTTTCTTTCCACCTGCTCCCAGGGGTTGTGCTTTTCCCATACTTTCTCCTCATCTCTGCCCTCTCTTCTCAAACAAAAATAACTCCTTACCCTCTGCAGCTTTTCTGTCCCCCAGTTCACCTCTCCATACAATGTACCTGCTGAGTTCTGTGGCTCAAGTTATGCAGGTTGTTGTGTTAATCCTTAGATCAATTTTCTAGCTGTGCAAAATGGCTTGTTTCTGATCTAGTTGCATTTCAGGGATGAGATAAGCAGAAATTTAATGTAGCTCCACCATCTTGTTCCCTCCCCTCTGTTTAATTTCCTCTGTGTTCTTGAGCCAAATGCCTAGAAAAATGATTTTATGGAATCACTGTCCCTATGTTTTATTTCTTGCTCCTTCTTTAATCTGGCTTCTTGCAACTCTCACCCTGTATATAGCCCAACTAAGGTCATCAAGGACTTCTCTCTTACTGAACTTAATCAACATTTGATAGTCTTTAGACCTTGAGAGGCATTGCCCACTGTTAATTATCTTCACATTGTCTAAAGTAACAACATTCATGCAAACACTTACAGCAATTATGTGTTCACCACATACCAAAGAGAAAAGTTCCAGATTATAACTGTGACAGTTGTAGGAATATGCCCTTGATCCCTGATCCCTTATTCTCCTGGGCCTGAATCTGAATTCTGAGGACCAGAAACCACTGAAAGTAGGGGTAGGGAATTGAAGCTAAGGGAGAAGGAAGAATTTAACATTCCTCCACTGCCTTTAAGGATTTTCAGGTCCGAAGTAAGCTCCCACTTGGATAGAGCAGTTATCCTAGTGCAGGGTTTCCTAAACTTGGCATTACTGAGATTTGGGGATAGGTAATTTGTTGTTGTGGGAGACTGTGCTGTTACTGTAGAATGCTTAGCATCCATCCTGGCATCTACCCACTAGATGCAAGTAGCATCCACTCTTCCCAGCTGTGACAGCTAAAAATGTCTCTAAATTACCAAATATTCCCTGAAGGCAGAATACCCCTCCTCTTTCATGCATCTTTCCCAACAGGGAACCACTGTTCAGGGCAGTGAAATTGGAGTTTTAATTATGGTACTGGAAAAGATATTCAAATTACTGAAACAAGCTGTCCTAGGGACTAAAGAAGATAGGAGAAGCTACAGGACCTGCCAGAATTTCATACGGTTGTAGAGGACCAACGTTTTAAAAGATCCCTATGAAGAAAAACCCAACTATTTTTACGGTTGCACCCCCACTCTTGTCATATTTTGAATAAAATTTTTATACCTACTTATGTAAAAGGGTAAATATATGAATATATATTTTACTTTTTCCCGGACAGTTTTGCCCCAGCTTAATTATTAATAGAATCCCTTTCCATTCTAAAAAGTGTCCCACTGTGGACGATAAATGACATGATCATCAGCTCTGTATTTTCTCAACAACATTCTAAGCATCAGGAGGGAAGCTAATTCTTTCTTATGCACTGATGTATGCTCACAGTACTTTTGTTGCGGTGGTTAATTTTAGGTGTCAACTTGATTGGGCCAAGAATTGCACATATCAAACATTATTTCTGAATGTATCTGTGAGAGTGTTTCTGGATGAGATTATCACTTGGATCTGTAGACTCAAAGTACACTTAGCTCTTGAACAATGCGGGTTTGAACTGTGAAGGTCCACTTACATGTGGATTTTTAAAAAAATATAAATACAGTACTGTACATGTACTTTTTTCTTCCTTTTGATTTTTTTAATAACATATTATTTTCTCTAGCTTACTGTATTGTGTTAGTATAGTATACATATAAGGTACAAAATATGTGTTAATTGACTATGTTATTGGTAAGGCTCCCAATCAATAGTAGGCTATTAGTGGTTAATTTGGGGGGAGTTAAAAGTTATATGTGCATTTTTGACTGCAGGACGGGTCAGTGCTCCTAACCCTCATGTTGTTCAAGAGTCAACAACATCAGTGGTCATCATTCAGTCTTTTGAGTGCCTGAATAGAACAAAAAGTCAGAAGAAGGAAGAGTTTCCTCCTTTTTGCTTCCTGCCTGCCAGCTGAGCTGGGCCATTGGTCTTTTCGTACCCTTGGACTGGAATTCATACCATCAGCTAGCTCCCTTGGTTCTTAAGCCTTCAGATTGAGGCTAGAATTATACCACCAGTTTTCCTGGGTCTCTAGCTTACAGATAGCAGATCATGGGACTTTACAGTGTAATTGTGTGAACCAGTTCTTCACAATAAATCTCTTCCTGTACATATATCTTGTTGGTTCTTTGGTTCTGTTTCTCTGGAGAACCCTGCTTAATATGGTCATGTAGTGGTAAATCAATAAATAGTTTTGAACCTGCAGTAAAAACAAAACTCAGTTAATCATGTTATGTAATCTATCAGCAGGATTAGACAGAGCCCTAACAAAATGAGGCAAACTTCCATACAAGGTATTTCCCTCTATAAGCCATGGTGCAGTTTAGAAGTCCTTTCTAGGATATAGTGGGTTTTCTGGCTGGATTTCAACCAGAGCACCTTGCCCAGATTCAGCTAGGGAAGCAGGCTGGTTACAAACACAGTTGAAAGCATTTTATTTTACAGCTCTACAAGTCTAATCGTATTTTGAAAAGATCATCATTGTTCAGACTTTATACACTATTGGTAGGGCAGTTCACTTGATTTGTTTCCAAAGGGGAATAAATGAATAAAGAATTTAGATTCTGAAGGATATTTTTTGGGTAAGAATTCAGTGCCAAAGAGGTATGCCTTAAAGAATTGTTCTAGATAGCATCTTTGTTTCCTCATCCTTCTTTGCATTCATAGAGACACATACATGCTCACAAAAATTGTGTACTTTACCGTACCTGTCATTTTCAAGTTCTCATTGTGGAGTTATTTGCTGAAGAAATTGAGAATTACTCTGTATTTAGGAACAAATCAGAGATGACATATAATGACTGGTAGAATTCTCACCTTGGCCTTTAATAAGAACAAGATGGCTTAATTCATCTCTTTGAAGAAAAGCTTAACATCCTACAACTGTTGTAAATATAAATCTGCACTAATATCCTGAAAAATTCCTTAACACTTCTGGAATTACTGATATGTTTACTTCCAAAAATAATGGTAAATTCTTGAAAACATTTATGATTAAAGTAGATTGAGAAAGAAATAATATTATTTTCCTCTTGTAGCTGAGAACTTTTGATGTATGAATTTCGCATGCCCCTGTGAATCAGATGTTATTAACCTCATTGTATATTTGAATAAACAATGATTCTGTGAGTTTAGGATTTAAACACAGATCTTCCTGACTCTGAGTGATTATATCTTCCAGTATTTGATTAGAAGTCTTTTGAACAATATTAGAAGGTAAAAGAACAAATATTCTATCAAATGTATTGAATTTAATATGCAGAAATCCTTGTGAACTTGGACAAATTATATAAACACATCAAACTTCTATTTGTTTTATCTGAAAAATAAAGATGGTAAGACTAACTGCCTTATAGGACTGTTAAGAGAGTAAGATTAGATCATGTACTTATAGAATTTCACAGAATCTCTGCACACAGCGAGTGTTCAGTAACTTTGATGCATTTTGATACATCAGTAAATTATTTTTATTATTTTTCTTCTAAGTTTTTATTTAAATTCTAGATAGTTAACATACGGTGTAATATTAGTTTCAGATGTAGAATTTAGTGCCTCATCACTTACATAAAACACCCAGTGCTCAACACAATTGCCATCCTTAATACCCATCTTTCATCTAGGCCATCCCCTTTCCACCTCCCCTCCAGCAACCCTGTTTGTTCTCTATCATTAAGAGTCTGTTTCTTGGTTTTCCTCTCTTTCCCCCCACCCCCCGCCATGTTAATTAGTTTTGTTTCTTAAGTTCCACATATGAGTGAAATCATATGGCATTTGTCTTTCAGTCAATTATTTTTAATATATGTAGGAAATAATTTTAGGACATCGATAACTTAAAAATTATTTTGCTTTGTGCCATAATTAGATATTTAATAAGAATCTGTTACTTTCACACAGTATGCTGGATATTATCGAGAACATAGAGAATCATCTTGTCTGCTGTTGAACCACTTGGGTCCTGGCTATGAAGATAAAACACACACCTAAGTCAGAGAGCACCAAGTGGTGAGATCTTACCTGTAAATGTACTAGGAATTTGATGGAGAGAGAAATTGTTGTGGGCCCCAATAAAATGGGAGCCATGTTGCTATTGGCTCCGAAGGAAGTGTAGAATATGAAGAGGAAAGGAGGGCAGGTACAAGGGGGTAGATCATGAGTAATGTTACAAAGGTGTGAGGAGCAAGGCCCTTTCAGGAAAAGCAACCAGAGCTAATGATACTGCCTTGCAGAAATAAAAAAGGAGAGAGAACTGTTTTCAAGTTGGATACCCTGTTCAGTGCTTTATAATTTTCCTTACAGACATTTTGAGAAGCAAATTAGTAAACTGGGCCCATTGGGAAATTGATGCCCATTCTCTCCACTTCTTATAGAAACCCTTACAGTGGTGAAGGAAATGAGGGCCTCGCAGGGGTGAGAGTCTGAACAATCCATAGTCTCCCAGTGTGGATTTTCTCCCCGGTAAAGTAGCACGTGCAAAAATGCAAAGGTCAGCTTCTGAAACGTTTTATATTTACATGTGGAGTAGCCTAAATTGTTTGAAAATGTTACTTTGATTAATATTCACCACCAAGCAGCCTCCCTGCCTATTCATTGGACTTTGCTTTCACCAAATAGGTGAGGAATCCTCGCTAGACTGATTAGACTCCTTTGTTCCTCTACCCCAGTATTTACCTATCACTGATGTCTTCTAGTGTCTGTGGCAATGGGTGCGAGATTACTTTTCCATAGATCAAACTTCAGAGAGATTTTTATAAGTTTTAAGCCTTTGTACTTAGATTCATCTTATCTATACTTTCAAGTGTCCTTTCCTACCATCTTTTAGCAGCTTTATTAAGATATCATACACATAACAACCTTATTTAAATTTACTCATGTTCAGTGACTTTTCATGCAATCATAGAATCATGCAGCCATTGCTACAGTCAATTTTAGAAGGTTTTCATCACCTCAGAGAGAAACCCTCCCTCACTCCTTCCATCTCCCCAGCCTAGGTAACCAAGAAACTACTATCCATCTGCATAGATTTGCCTTTTCTGGACATTTCATGTAAATAGAATCATGTAGTGAGTGGCTGGCTTCTTTCAGTTAACGTAACGTTTTTGAGTTCATCCAGGTTGTCATATGCATCAGGACTTCCTTTCATTAATACTCCATTGTACAGAAACACCACATTTTACTTACTCTTTCATCAGTTCTGGACATTTGGGTTGTTTCAACTTCTTGGCTATTATGAATAATGCTACTAAGAACATTCAAGTGCAGTTTTTGTGTGACCATTTTTAAATTTCTTTTCAGTAGTATTTCTGGAGTGGAATAGTTGGATCACTTGGTAACCCTATGTTTAACTTTTTCATGCCCTTTTGAGCCTGGAGCTGGCTTCACAATATCCCTAAACCAGGCATGCAAAACACCCTTGTTTTGCATGGCTCCTTCTTAGGCCCTCTGCTCTTCTTGTACCCATATTCTCTTGTATGTCTTCATGCTAATCCCATGCTTAGAATAACAGCCAAATGCATATCTCTGGCCTAGACTGCTTCTCTGGACTCTAAATATTTATATCCAAATGTTCAATACCAGTTCTTTTTGAACACCCCACAGGGACTTCTAAATCAATCTTTTATTCTTCTCCCTTCCACCGTGCTCCTCCTCCTATATATTCTAAGTGGGTGAATGATACATCCTAATAAGAAACCCAATAGCCATATGAGGCTTCTTTCCCTTCTATAATCCATCACCAAACCCTATTGATTTAGCCTCCTAAGAATCATGAATGTGTCCCCTCATTCCATGCTCACAGTTACCACTCTGCTTTAATCTCTCAAGTCTTCTCCATGTGGTAGCCTCTTAACTTATCACCATGCGGATCATCCCCTTCCTCCTCCATCTGTTCTTCCTGAGGCTGCCAGAAAAGTTGCTCTGAAACACACATCTAATCATTTCACTCTGCTGCCTAAAACCTCTCAATGTTTCCCCACAGTCTGCAGAATAAAAAAGCAAACTCTTGTGCTTGGTGCCCCAAACCATTCATAACCCGACCGTCACAGTCTCTTGAGTTTCCTCTTCAAGTATTTCCATCCTGTGTCCAGACACCAGATTCTGTAGAGGCCTCTAGATGTGCTGTAGGTATTTTCATGGCCTCATATCAGTTTCCCCTAGACTGTCCTGGTTCTAAGCCCCTCTTTAGTTGGACTAAATTTACAATTTATTTGTGGAACAAATAAATAGACATGTATTGTAAAAAATAACATCTCTTTTGTTCTTCAAGACATCTTAGGCCTTTGGGAAGAATTGTCTATAATCTCAGCTTGAATTGGTTTGCTTCTCAAAGCATTTTGCACTTTCTTTCATCACAGATATTATTGGGCTATATTTTAAGTGTCCCTTAACTAGCCCAACTTCCTCAATTCACTGTTCTTTGAGGAAAAGACCACATCTGCTTTGTCTTTGTCATCTCAGCACTCTCTATGATAGTAGGCACTGAATAATATGTTCAATGAATGCACGAATTCCATATCTGCAAATATTTCAAGAACCTTCAGATCTTCTATGTTTCAGATTCCCTGCCTGTATTTGATCTAACCCAGCTTCTTCCAGGCCTAGAGCTAGTGAGAGTATTAAGCACTTGATATGAAGTACTGGTGGTACTCTTACTCTGACAGCCTTTTCTTACACCTGTTTTCCTGCCAGCTATAGCTTTCCTTTTCTTTCTGGTTCTCATGGTTATTCTTGCTGTTTTACTTCAGATTGGCAAGGCTGACTGTTTAGACAGGTCTCGAGAGGCCATGAGACCTGAACTAATCCTATGACTTGTGAGGGCTCTGTGTGTGCCTGGTCTTCATGCTGTGACCTTATTATTCTATGCAGCCCTGTAGGTGATTCTCTTTGACATGGGTATAATGGAAAATGAAACATTTGCCTCTGTAATGGCCATTGCATAATGGGCAAAGAAATGTCCACGTAAATTTATAAGCTTTCTGTAAGTTTCTTTGGCTCTTCCTTTTTTTTTTTTTTTTTTCAACGTTTATTTATTTTTGGGACAGGGAGAGACAGAGCATGAACGGGGGAGGGTCAGAGAGAGAGGGAGACAGAGAATCGGAAACAGGCTCCAGGCTCTGAGCCATCAGCCCAGAGCCTGACGCGGGGCTCAAACTCACGGACCGCAAGATCGTGACCTGGCTGAAGTCGGACGCTTAACCGACTGCGCCACCCAGGCGCCCCGGCTCTTCCTTTTTTTAAAAAAAATATTTTAGAGAGAGTGAATTTGCATGTGTGGAGGCAGGAGAGGCAGAGACAGTGAGAGAGAGAGAGAGAGAGAGAGGGAGAGAGAATCTTAAGTAGGCTCCACATTTAGTATGGAGCCCAATGCAAGGCTCAATCCACGACCCTGGGATCATGATCTGAGCCGAAATCAAGAGTTGATCGCTCAACAGACTGAGCCACCCAGGCACCCCTGGCTCTTCCTTTAAACAGTTGAGTAGTTTATTAGTTACAACTTTAAAAAAAGAAAGTGAGTGGAGTGATATAGGAATTCAACTTCTGCATACCTCTTTCCCCACACAGAGTTCTGAGAATCACTTTTTAACATCTCTGCTTCTGTTGTAAGGAAAATGGCTTTTATTTCAGTGTTTCCCATGGGGCTTTCGATTCCTCTCATTAAAATGAATGTATTTGCAGTTTGGAGGAAGAATTAATAGGGCCGTCCTGTTGAATGTTGAATGAAAGAGTGAATGCATTAAAGGCAGAAGAAGCTCCTGCCTGTATACATGTAAAATGTGAAATATTGTGCAAAAAAATATAGCTGACATCTAGTTCCAAAAATGCGTTACTAGCCTGTTAGTCTAACAAAACAGTTCAAGGTTTGTTTTGTTTTGTTTTGTCATTTGAGTTGTGATTGGTAGCTTGGTAGCTTTAAATTTCTTTGTATTTGGATATTGACTATTATGAAAAAGTATAAAAAAAAACTTCAGAAAAGTTTTAGCTTTTTTAGATTTCATACAGCATTCCAAATAAAATACATGATTACATTGGTGATTGAGTAATTTAGTGTTCATTATCAAAAAGCTGTATTTCCTGTGCCTTTGTCTCTGGGACGTGTATGGTTTAAAGACATTTGTAAAGATTTCAGACAACAATTGGAAATCTATTTCATAAAGCAAAGAAAGATGACTGTGATATTGTAGGGCTTAGAAGTAGTTACCCCACAGAATTGTTTTCAGTTTTAAATACACAACTTCGAAGAAAGGTAGATAGGCTTTCAAGCCTACCAATACTCTTAGGCATTGCCAATAAGGCCAAGTCTGGAGAAAATGAAAGCAAAAGATATAAAGTAGTAATTTCATAATGAGACTTTGTTTATTCCAGGAGATAAATGAGATTCACAGATGGATACAGAAAGAATCTACATTAAGTGTAATATACTGAATGGCTGGTTTGTAGTTTTCTTCCGAGGTTTCCTTTTTGAACATCTGAATTAATTCTCAATTCTGAAAATTTCCACAGGTTGTTTGAGAATTGTTTCCTTCATTACTTGTAAATATGTTTCTTGAGATTACCACCCAGAGAGTCTTAAACTCAGAAAAATCAAGCAGAATCTGTTTTCCAAATTTGTTGAAGAAACCAAACATTCCTATAAATTCTGTGTATACACCTCTCCATCCTCTGCTGGAAGAAGAGTTAAGTTAGGAGGGAAGAGGCGATATGGAGGCACAGATTGACTGCATAGGCTTGTGAACCACCCTTTAATGGTTATCTCAGTAAAACAATAAGGACACCATAAAGCCAGTGAGGTTGAGGAATGGTGAGGGGCAGAGAAGCAGCTTCTTCTGTTTTGTTGGTGATTGTCAAGGGGAAGTCTGTAAATACAGCTCAGAGTGTAGAAAGAGTCAACACATACTTGACTTTTATAGTATAACATGTGAATACAGAACACACGGGGAAAGATGTTTTATGAGAAAGTAGTCTTTTGATAGAAGGCATACCTTAAATTTTATGCTTGAAATAAACTG